CATCAACGGCTTCGACCTCAACATCAGCTCCCTCGATGGATCCTTGCGGAGAATCTGGATCGAAAGCACCCCAACCCTACGACTCATCGGCCAACTCCGGATGGCGGCGAAGGACCCTTCGACGAAAGAGGTTGAACCCAGTCGTAGAGGAAGCTTTGGCGTATTCGTTCATTTGTAGCTGCATCTCCTCCGATGCCTTGTACTGGTTGACTACCTCCTCGACAGACTCTTGCCTCAACTTGTCTCGCTCCACCTTAAGCTCGCCGATCTCTCATTTCAGCTCCCGGACAAGGCTGGCTTGCTCGACCAGCTGTACCTTTAGCTCGGCCACCTCCCTCTCAAGAGCGGCTGATCTCTCCCCAGCAGCCTGCAGCTCGGCCAACTGGGCCTTCTACCGCAGATACCTGGAGTGTTCCTGTTCGTACGATGACCGAAGGTCTCGAAGATAATCAACCAGCACGACCCTCGCACAAGCATTCTGCAGACGAACACGATAAGTATACCAAGAAAGAGATTGAAACACAAGGAATAAGAAGAGGGGACTTACCTGGGCCACAGTCCGTAGCAGCACACACTCCAGGGCTCCGCCGCTGAGCCCGATTGATTCCCGAGCTATTGACACTGTCATGATTCCTGCAGTAACTGCTCGGGTACTTCAGGCGAATCCAGATTGTCGTCCACACGAACCAACCACCTCGGCACGTGCAGACTCGAGCTGCTGCCTGCCTTAGTTACCGATGCGCCTACAGGACGACGAACCCCTTCAGGGTCAACCACAACAACGTCATCTCCTCAACATCCCGTTGCTGGACTCTCCTTTGCCGACGAGCCGCCCAGTCTGCGGAACGTGGCCGCTCTCTTGTCTCGGGAAGAGCTTCCAGTTGCACACCGGCTCACTCCTGCCTTTGTCGAAGTGCCTTCATCCAACGAACAATCTCTTCCTCGCTGGCCATACTTATACTTGCAACACAAGATACCCAAGGTAAGTAAAAGGCAAACAAGATAAATTTAACTCGACGAACAAATAGTAAAGGAAACAGACCAGCCACCCTCTCGGTCAGCCCGACGAGCATCAATATCTTCGAGCATGTGTACACGATAACGTCGATTTCATGGATCATGCTCAGGGCCGACCTCTCCTCCCAAGTGAGTGCCGATCATTGGGGTTGCGGCAGAGTCGTCCTCGGCAGGAAAAGGGGAACCCCCTGGAATGCGCACGAAGAAGAACGACTCCTTCCAGTGCTTCACAAAGGAAGGGGCCTCGACTAACGACCGAATATTCCGTAGAGTGGATAAGTAATGGTACCCCTACTGGTGGTGTTTCAGCTGGAGCATAAAGTTCACCATCCCTACTAGTGGTGTTTCAGCTTCACAAAGGAAGGGGCCGAACCTAAAGGAGTTCGGCATCAACTGCACTGGCAACACCCTGTACCAGTTTAGCACCTCGGCGAACCCCTCGCTCAACGAGAACCTCAGCCCAACCTCCAAGTTGTGCTCATAAATGCATAGTTCACCGGTAGACCTGTTCATGGGCCGGGTAGCTTGACTGGCCGGCCTGGCCTGGCCCGACCCCCGAACGGGCTTGCACATGAAGTTTAGCCTGCGGGCTTGACCTCGGGCCTAAAAGCTTCAGCTCGACTACTTTTCGGGCCGGACTCGGGATTTGTCACAAAAGCTGGCCCGAGCCTGGCCTGACCCGACATTTTGTATTTTATTGTAAACCTTAGCCAATTAACCTTTCCTATTCCCTCTTTTCATCTTTTATCTTTCTCTCCTCATTATCGCTCTCAATAACCAACGCGAATCCAAGCAAGCAACCACTGTTCTCAGTCTCAGAGGTGACAGGCAAGCTCAGGCACCAGCAGACTCAAGCAGCAATCGTCTCTCTCTCTTGCGGTGAGTCTTCTCTCTTTCTCTCTCTCTCTCTCTCTCTCTCTCTCTCTCGTTTCTCTCACAGTTCTCACTCACATGCACTCGCATATTCTCAGGACTTAGGAACCAACGAACTCAGGCACCGGCGCCAGCCGCACAACTAGTGAACTCAGTCGCCCCTCTCTCCAATGGTGAATCTTCTCTCTCTTTCCACCATTCCTCTCTCTCGTAGTTCTCATTCTCATGCATTGTTGCATATTCTCAGGAACCAGTGAACTCAAGCATCGACGATGGCGAACTCAGGCACCGACGCCAGCCGCACCACTAGTGAACTCAGTCGCCCTACATTTCAGCCTCTGTTAGGTCGAGCTTCGGGCTCGGGCCCGAGTTGTAGGCCTGTTGGTGGAGCCGGGCTTGGGCTCGGGCCTGAAAAAATCTTGTTAATGTAAAGCAAAAGCCCGGCCCGACCCATGAACAGGTCTATTCACCGAGTTGAGCATCAATGGCCATCTCCCCGGGAAGTGGATACCTCATTTGGTATTCTACAGGAATGGTGTACATAGCTCGGATCCGAGCCATATCCCCGGGCGCCAAGACGCAGGACGTTGTGCCAAATCGATGACCTACCCGTAGAGGAAGCTCCACCTCCATCCCGGAGGGACCAACCTCAGCCTCCTCAACTTTGACAACCACAAAATCTCTCAGCTCAGGCTCGTAGTTCGAGCCGTGAGAAGAGCTGGAATCGGAACTACTAGAGGACTCGAAAGAGGAAGAGGACCGATGAGATGAAAAGGACATACCGGGCAATTTAAAAGAACTGAGGAGCGATGGCTACCGAGCTATCCGCCATGCTATCTGCCAAACAACCTTCCGAGCAATGAGTGCCAAACACCTTCTTGCAAGCAATACTGAGGATAGGGGGTCCCCCTCCCCCCCTCGTCTTCCCTTTTATAACCATTAGGGGCACAAACCGAGGTGAGATCAACGGTGCAGATGAAGCACCTCTTACAACGCCTCGGAAGACCAACCGACGTGACCAATAACGTATAATAGGAAGCTTCAGAAACCGAAGCTCCATCCTCTACAAGCAGCGGTTACGCCTATTAATTGCGCTGATTCGACTACAGTACCGGTCCAACCTTCGATGCGGAGACCCACAGTACCAGTCCAACCTTCGAGCGGACCCTCGGCTAGGCCGCTTAAGGCTACAAGGCCGCACAGTAGTCTGGCCGAGCACCCCCCCTCCTCGACAGCATAACTGGGGGAGTGGTTCGGGAACTGAAACTTTGGTTCTCATTTAAGTTCTGCAGCCGACAAGCGGAAGACTCCTCGGCAACAATTGACATGGCGCGGATGGATCGCAACGACCTTAGTTTCATAGCTTGGCAACCTCGAAGGAACCCGTCTCCGCAGCCCGGCACCCCGTGGCCGAACATCACAACCACAATTTCGGAGTTCGGCCTCCGACCATCAGCAAAAGGCCTTTCCTCGGCATACGATCGGGCTAAGCTTCGATTTCGGAAGCTCGGCACATCAAAGCCGAGCATGACACAAACCCCAACTCCGAAATACGAATCCAACTCCAAAGCTTGGTGCACCATGACCGAGCATCATCACAACACCGAAGCTCGACTTCCGCTTAGAATCAGAGCCGTTCCTCAACCCCACCAGGACGGACTCGGAAGCTCAGTTCGACACCTTGGCTCTCTGCCAAGCTATGTAACCGCGCAACACTTCAGGCCAAGCACTCCCCATCCTTAGGTACAGGACTGGGGGAGTGGTTCAGATTCCAAAGTCAGAGCTTTTAGAGTTCTGCAGCCGACAATGGGAAGATTCCTCGGCCATTCCCCATATTGCCCGGTTCTCAAGATTGCGACAGTCACCGAGGAACACCAAAAGGGCTAGACGCTCATCTAGACATCAACTTGAAGTTTTTCAGCCGAAGAACGAATTGGACTACTTCATTCCTCGACTTCAGAACTGGGGGAGTGGTGTTCGAGTCATGGCTGAGCTGGTCCTGCGAGACACATGGCCTCCCAGCTATCGCCCTGCCACGTCGTCCTAGCTCGACCGAACTATACTATTACTGTGGCCCCCGGTCTTATCCTTCCAGCCACGTCAACTACACGTCATGCGGATGAGCACAACTACAAATTAGGAGTAAGGAAAGACGACTGCACTGGGGAATGAGACTCTATCCCAAGTACCTCGATGGCTAACCTCATCCTGACAACCCCGGAAGCTCAATCCGACCAGGACACGGATTTTCGGCTATAAAAAGACACTCCATGCTCGAGGTAAGGGATCCATCTTCCGACACCCATATTGTTACTCTGCTCAGACCAGCATCCTCATAGCTTGGCCCGACCACCCACCATCTCTTACTGACTTGAGCGTCAAAGTACTTATCCGGGGATAACTCCTCGGGCCTTTGACTTCTTTCTTGATCACAGGTCTTGAAGCGTGGTCTTATCCTTGTAGCTCGGCCTCGCCTTATCAGCAAAGACTATCTAGTTGCTCTCCTCAATTCGTACACCACTTCAGATTGAGCAGCATCACACACACACACACATATATGTATATATATATATACCATTTACAATTTCAATTTGATTTGATATCTAAAATTCAGAAACCAAATCAAAATCATAAACCAAAATTTTAAAAGAATCCCAAACTGAACCAAATTGTTTTTATGCCTAAAACAAACTAAACCGTCGATTTCAATTTGGTTCGATTCGATTTGTCGGTTTTGACACTATAATAAACACCACTACTCTTTAGTCATGTATGATGTAAAAAAGATATGGTATAGAAAGAGTTTTGACCAATCAAAAACCACCCATAAATTTTGATAAATAACGTCTGATTGACTACAACATTTATGATTCCAGTAATGTATTGCTTTTAAGTTTTATAAAAATCATAATTTTTGAACGAAATATTTGATGAAACATTTCAAGATTTTGTTTGAAACAAATTGAACCAAAATTTCAGGATCTTGTTCAGATTTCTATAATCGAAACCACAAGAGTTTAAACCGGGTTGGTGTTGGGTTCAACCGCATCAACCTCGACCAGGCTCCCATGGGCTCATACCCAGTACATATTCCATCGCCCCGGTTCGATGACTCGTTTTAGGGTTTTATCAAATTTCTTCCCTCTCTTCCCGCCTCTTCCCGCCGATTGCAGGAGTCCCCACTCCCCACTACGAAACTCGCCGGATTTATAGATTCGTTACTGTCCAACTGTGAAGTGTCAACCCACCCCTCTCTGGCTTACAGCCATTAATGGTGGAAGCGGCCGATTAGCTTGTCTAGGTTTCTGTCCAAAATTTGAAGCCTTCACGTTAGATCAAGTGCTTCTCCTTTTTTCTTTCAGATTATTTGTCTTCCACAGAAAACCCCTTTTCCTTGCGTCTGTTAAATTTTAATTTTCTTTAGCATCTTTTACTTGCAGGAGGCGGAGGTTGTTTGATTTTCAATAATCTCGACCTCTTAACATGTCGGGGAGGAACCGTGGACCTCCGCTTCCAATGAAGGGTACGCCACATGGTGGTCTCCCCCCTATTCATGAACTTCCATTCGGCAGAGGGCTCGGTCCGATGCCTCATCCGGCGCTTCTGGAGGAAATGAGGGAAGCCCAGTTCGGACGGGGTCCCAGGCCGTTGCCTCTTCACCCTGCCATAATCGAAGAGAGGCTCGAAGCTCAACATCAGGAAATCCAGGGGCTTCTGATTGATAATCAGAGGCTGGCTGCCACCCATGTCGCGTTAAAGCAGGAATTGGCTGCTGCCCAGCACGAGCTGCAACGTGTGGCTCATCTTGCTGGCACCATGAATTCTGAGAAGGAAATCCAGCTCAGAGAAGCCTATGACAAGTCTATGAAAATGGAATCTGATCTCCGTGCTGCAGAGTCTATGAGGGCTGAGCTTCTGCAAGTTCGCGCTGATATTCAGAAGCTCACTGCCGCTAGGCAAGAGCTTATGGCTCAGGTCGAAGCGCTTACTCAAGATTTGGCTAGAGCTAATTGTGATTTGCAGCAGGCACCCGCACTGAAGGCTGAAATCGAGAGCATGAAACAGGATTTGCAACGAGCTAGGTACTAAGGGGAGAACGGTTCATATCTTGATAAATTGATGATGGGCTGAGCGGTATTTGATGCTTACATCTGTAGGTGCATTTGCTGGCTTTCAGGGTTGCCATTGAGTACGAGAAGAAAGGACATGCTGAAAATTATGAACAGGGTCAGGCAATGGAGAAGAATCTGATTGTCATGGCTCGTGAGGTGGAAAAGATGCGTGCTGAGATTGCCAATGCAGAGAAAAGAGCACGTGCTGCTGCTGCTGTTGGGAACCCCGGTATGTGTTCTCAGAACTTGAAGCTTGTTGAACCTGATGGGGGGGGGGATGAAATCCTTGTCGCCCTGGCTCCTTAGTTGATTCTTATTTTGTGGTCTTGTTTTTCATTTCCTTCTTGGGACTTAGTTAAAAGATCAGAAATAGAAGGCTTCTGCTTGGACAGATCCAAATTCTAACATTACTTCGTCGGGGATATTTAATTATTTATGGAGTTCAAATTGTGTAGTATCACGTTTACTTGCTAAAACACATCTAAATTAGAGGCCATAGACTTGGGTCTGCATTCTACATGGTACCTTGATGTGAGTTGCTGATCTACATGAAGATAAAAACTGATGTGGTGGGAACACCAATAATTTTGGTGGGCATTATAATCAAGAAAACCTATAACAGTTGGGTCAATGATGATGATGACGATGATGATTATCATCAAGAAACAAAGAAGTCCGTGCATTTTGTAGTCCCCCATTCCTGAGCAAAATTAGAGGCCACAGAAAGAGAATCAGTGACCAATAGGAGAGTAAAGAAGTGGACAACATATAAATGTAATTTTTCTTGTAATAAAATGCATACAATGCCAATGAAACCTATAAAAAATGGATATATAAATGGAGATGACAGACTCTATGTCCCTATATTGAGATTTTCTCTACGAAACTTACAGCATGTGTGCACATCAGTGGGTTAGTGTACAGACAACCACAAAGTGCTTTTCCTGGAACATTTTTAACTGAAAGTTTGTTTAAATGCCTTTTATTTTCTTCTCAAAAGTCCAGGAATAAGGGGAAATTATTCGTACCCTAGAACTTGTGATATTTAGTGGAAAGCTATTTCATTGCAAAATCTACTTGGTCTAGGTTAGGAGATTTAAATGGCAAAAGATTCTTGGAGTGGTCCAGGGTAGGAATCAGAAACTAGACCTGAAGATGCTTAAGAACTTTGTAATTTGCATGAATATATCAATTTAACATTTTTTTTGTTTACTTAGAGTTACTTATTAGGCTGCTGAATAAACAAGGTTTTCAATCTCAAGTAATCTTACCTTCATTTGTTGTATCTTATTTAGTTTATAATCCAATAAATTTGATCAAATATAAATTATAATATTGACACATATATCACATGTGGCAGATCCCCCCTCTTTTCTCCCTTTCTAGGTCCATCCTTTTCTTTCTTGTGTTCTTTGGTTATCATTACCGACTATTTTTCGATCTGAGGTTGGCTGTTGGTTCTGCAGGTGCAGGTTATAGTGGGAATTATGGTAATCCTGATCCTGGATATGGGGGAAATCCTTATACTGCTGCTTATGGCATGGATCCTGTATGTTGTTGGCTTGTTATTATGTTACTTCATTCCATGGATATGCTTCCTTCAGAATTGACTGTAACATGTTCTGCTACTTGTGTGTCAGGTACAGGGTAGTGTGGAAGCTGCTGCACAATATGGACTTGGACCTGGTTCTTGGAATGCATATGATATGCAGCGTGCTCATGGACGCAGATAAACTAGTGTGCATGCCATGCCAAGTTGTGGGCCCCTCATTTTGCTCACCCACATACTGGTACCTTAGGATGCAACTTAGTAGATAACTAGGTTTGGGGTTGGAAGTTTGTCTCATGAATGACGTTTTAGCAGATATGCTCAGTCCTGTTAATTTTGGATACTAAAATCCTATTTGAAATATTGACATTCCATATTATCAATATTGTGCAATTATGGTTATGTTGTTTTGGTGCATTCTAATGCAGAGTTGTGGTATTGGCAAAAAAAAGGCAGAGTTGTGTGTATTACTGCTTTGTTCTGCAGAGGGTTTTAACTTCGTGATCTATCCTAATTGTTTCTCTTTCTTAACTGTTATCTTTTGTTATCCAAAGAACAAATCTTCCTTCTCTCTTTCAGCTGTCAGCAGTAAACTTTTTAACTTTTAAAGCTGCAGAGATGTAATTCATGTAAATCTATCATGTTTGAAGAGTAAATTCTGAGCGTTTCCACATGGGTTCTTAGAGTAGGACACCTAGGAAGTTTATTTTGTCTCTTTTTTGATAGATAATGGAAATAATAATACTATTGATTAAAGAACTAAGTATACATCATACAATTCCCCACTAAGAGGCGCGAGGTGCAGCCTCCTAACTACATCATAAAGCTTACAATTGAGCCCAAAAGAGCTGATTCCTATGTACTCCTTGTTTAGCTAGGAGGTCTCCCAGCCCATTTGCCGATCTTCTTTCCCATT